TTATTTCCTGTGTGCTAAAATGTACAGCAATTCCAGATGAAGTTAAGTGATGGTGGAGGGAGAGAACAGGAAAGTCCTTTGATTTTGGTGTGAAAATAGGAGCCAGTGGAGGAGCTGCAGTGAGATTTGTGATGCAACACTGCCTGTGCTAACTGTACCCCATCTGCACTTGCTTCCCATTTGCTGTATTAACAGGCACTATTCTCACATCCCTCTTTCTCACAGCTGTGCTACCAGGCAGCTGCAAAGTTGTGTCATGCCTATAAATGTGCCTTCCCAGCCCTTCTCCACAGGCAGCAGTTGTCTTACTTTAGAAAAGAAAGGATAACAGCAAAGTGTCTCGGGAGCTGGGACAGACAGCAGCTGGGGCAACAATTCAGTAGATGATGTGAGAATTTTCAAATATCAAAAACTACTTAAAAGTTTTAGCCAGAGTGAGAAAGAGCCCTAAATGAAAGAGAAAGCTATTTTTGGACAGCTGTTACATTTTATATATTTGATCAGAGATTCTGCCCTGGTGTTATTAAAAAATAATTTAACTATGAACTTCAGATCTTTATGTATCAACACAATAAGCAGTTTATTGTAGACTTTATTTAGAAGTAAGTCTGTGCTTTATGTCTTGTGTTTGAGTGAATTTGTGATATTCCAAGTAGACTTGTATATATGACCAATTCATAAATTATTTTTCTCTTTCCATTAAAATCATTAGATGCTTTTACATTAATTTCAGGAGTAAAAGCAGTTTTTATCTTCTCTATATCAGTTATCACCTGCATTCTTATTTTGAATTAAAGGAGTATTAGATTGTTATTTACACGGTTCAGTTACAACAGTCATTGCACTGACCTTTCAATTAATTCTTGATTTCCATGGTAAAGTTTTATTCACGTTTAATTGTTATTGTTTTCTCATTTATAATGACCAGATTACACCCTACACTTCCATTTTGCAAGGTAATTCACAGCCCCTCCACCTATAATGTACTTCCCCCAAGAAATCTGATTAAAACAAAAAATTGAATTTTGCTTAATGCTTGCAGCATTTCAAAGAACCAGAGCAGGAGAGACAGCCAGTAAAATTTTGAGATAGAATTAGTACTAGATGACCTCAAAGGTTTGAATCACAAATAGATTTTCTGAATTTCCAATTACATTACAGCTGTGCTGTGAAAAAATCTGTCAGTCTGCTTACCAGCTGATCTGTATCTTGTCCATGGAGGACATTGTTGTCACCTGAGATATCAGCAGAGCCTCTGACTCGACTTTGCAAAAAGGCAGAAATTATTCAAGTCATCAAAAATGCAGCACAATCCTCGTGGCTTTTGTTTCCTGCAGTTGCAAAATTATTTGTATAGATTAGCCCAGAACTATAAATTTGCTTTCTAACAATGCTGGTTTAGGCATACAAAATAGTATTCCTATACCATGGAAAAATTCTTAAATATTCAACTATGACTTTGTGACTCAGGGGCAACCACATAAAAAAATGTAGACCTATAAAATAAATGTGTGACTGAGCACGACCAATAAACGTGTTAAAATTTACTCTAAGGAGGTGGGATTTTAAAAGTGAAATGGAAATTTTCAGTAGAAGTATGAGAAAATTAGTGTGGTACTAAAGGTACACTGACATGAGGTAATATTGACTCCCAGATCATATTGCTAATCCAGAATATTTTGACATGAACCACTTTTAGATTTCCAAAGTTCTTATTCCTTCAGGGAAATACGTACCAGTGGAAATGTACAGCTTTCATATCTACTACGGAGTGTTCTGGATTCAAAACAAAAATAAGACATGATTGTATTAGATTCTGTACCAAACACAATCAAGATTAAGTACTAGTTTAGATTAAACTAAACTGGAGTGAAACAGCAAATGTGTCTCTTACTTGTGGTTACTGGTCCTGAGAACATTTATTTTCTGTTGAAACTTCCTTAATCTCATCCCTTGCACTGAGCAGAACCACAGGCATTCTGCCATCACACTCTGCACCACAATGCACTGGAGGAGAAAACACACACACCAGAAGATCTCGGAGAGAAACTCACCAGCATTTTTATTATTTATCTTTTTTACTTCATTGGCATCTTTCTGTTCCTCAGCTATCCAAATATGTTATGACAAAGTTCATCTGAATGGTATACTGCATTTTTATCCAGGTTTTGCCTTGCTCTGCAGGATAGCAGGTCATCCTGATGGAATGACTAATAAAAATTGACTTTGGGGAAAAAAACCCTAAAAATTCCTTTTCTTGGAACAAATCTACAGATCTTGAGAAATGATTACAGCCTGGTCATTCTGTAGGTCCCAGGCAATTTTTGCACTTACATAATCCCTAGCTTTGAATACTTTTGTTGGGTTTCCACTGCAAGATGGTGAGTGATAAAAAAAACCATGATGGACAGAAAACTATTTTTTTTCATTAATCTTCACATAAGCTTCTATGAAATATCTTAATCTCAAACAATTGCAATGATTGAGAGATTCAAGAGCAAAACCATGCTACCAATTTATGCTGAAAGGAGTGATGTTCTGAACTTATTTTTTTAAATCTACATTGTTCACACATTTCTTCATCATCTAAGCATTTTAAATGGAAAAAACTATACATGTGATAATGTATAATCAAGAAAAGAAACCAAGGAAAGAAGGGAACTAAATCTATTCACAGCTGGAAGTTGTGATCAATTATATACCTGTGTAAAAGTGAACATACATTTCTAGGAGGAAAAACATTTTTTCCTGCAGTTATGGGGAGTTTCAATGAACTTAAAAATCATTGAGGTGTAAAAGAAAATTTGAGTCTCATTTCTGATTTTATGGCAGCATGATTTCTTATGTTGTTTTCCACAGCATTTTCTTCGAATGAGTATCAGATAAAGGAAGAACCCAACACATACAAGAAGATACCACAGGGATAATAAATATTGACAGACCCAGTATAGTCTGATCAGGAAAATTTGGTGGCTTTAAGAATTTATATCAAGCTTGTTGTAAAGTGACAAATATCAAGCATGATGAATGGTAGGAAGAAGTATCTGTCCTTGTCATCTATGGTACTGCAACTTCTTGATAACTGAAGATCACATTCCTTCCTTCCTGAGACAGAAGCCTTCCTGGAGTTCACTGTTCTCATTGTTACTCTTTAGAAAATACCAGTTTTGAGGCATTACCTGTTATAAGGAGGTTTCAGCAAAGAAGAGAGAAAGGAGTTAAAAACTGATGTCAGGCTAAAGGTCTTTGTGAAAAATTTGTTGTTCAAGGTGAAATGGCACAGCTGTTTTTATAAGAAGAAAAACTCCACTCAGCATCCCCTGACACTGCTCGGTTCTCTGTATCTGCCTCAGGGTTCTGTGTTTCATCAGAGGGAACTTAACACTCACTACTGCAGCACTAATCCCTGAGCTTCTGTGGATAACAGGAGATGGTGAAACCTATCTAAACAGACCATAAGCCCCAGAATGTTTGCTGTCATCTTTTGTGAGCATGTACATGTACATATATGTGTTTATAGGTACACCCACAGGTGTATGTGTGTGTGCATGCACACATTTATAAAAATACACACAAACACAATGCACCAAATCAGACTGTGGAGCACAGAAGTGTTGTGTGGTTTCTTACTCTGCAGAAGATGAGAAGTATCTCACAGCATGAATCATGGAGTGTGAACAAAGACTCCATGGAGTAGCTCAATGTACTGAAAACCCAACCTCGTAACGACAGACCCGTTTGTGTACCCATATGGGAGAGCAATGCATGTGGAGAACTTGGTTTGTGCTATCACTTTATGCAGCCCTTTGAGTGCTGTGAAGTATCTGGTAATTCTGAGTGAAATACTCTACAATGAAGATGTCTTCTCATCTAAGTGGTGACGTACTCTTGCATATTGTGTGATCTGGAGGTGTACAAGTGAGAAAGTGGCAGCGTTTTTGGCAGGACTGCTTTGTAGTAGAGTAGGTTTGGGAATCTGAGAGCCATAGTCAAACTGAAGTGTGGATTTCAGTCTGGTTTCTCACACCTCATATGCATTTTGAGCTCTCTATTTGAAATAGATCCACTTATGTTTACAGAATTGAATGATCATTGATTAAAAGGTTTGAACCTTGGCTGCCTGTGGTTCTGGAGCGTACCTTAGCTGTTGTCGATTATATTAGCTGTCCAATTATTTTTCTGATCGCAGTTAGAAACTCCCATCCTTAGCTGAGAAACTCCTCTTGATTATGTTTGCACTGAAACTTGATCTGTGGAAAGATTAAATTTCTGCAAATTGACATATCTGTAGAAAACCACCCCCATAAACTTCATAAAAGAATTCTTGACAATTTTCAACTACAAAGTAGAGTTCAGGAAGAGACACACATTTACAGCCTGTCATAGAGGTTATGTAGAGAGTTCCTTTATTTAAAGATTATAACATTTAATTTTTGATTATATGTGTAATTTAGAATTCAAAATGAAATGCCACAGTGATAAATAGCGATCTGTACAGAAATGGCAATAGGAGTGAATGACAAGAGGAGGTTAAATGGTAAGCTGACACTAATTTTCCACCACATCCTCTATGTGTTATAAAAAGAAAATTCATCACCAAGATAAAATCACAACACAAAATATCAGGCAGGTAACACAAAAGGTGAACCAAAATTCAGTGACAAAGTTCATATACCTTCCCACTTCAGCAGGGATTTGATGCAAAATCCAACAAACATATCTTTAATTGTTAGTATTTAAAAGATTTTCGTCACTGATAATCATTCACTGAGGACAAAATTCTTCACTAACTTCGCTTGTTATTTCTGTTAATCCAAATTGGGTTTCAAGGCTGTCACTGCATAAATTCTCAGTCCCAAGGGCTGGGAAAATAGTCTAATTCTGTTTTCATTTAACCTTGCAAAAAAGTACATTTTGTGATACCATTCCAACATTTAGCAATCATTCTCCTTGTACTGAGAGTTCCTGCAGGCTGTCACATTGCAGGAAACAGCACAAGAAACACAAACCACCTCAGATAAAATTATTCAGGCTAGTTATTAATTGTCAGTAGTGTGACCTGGCTCACTTTGTGGCTCACAAAAGCTGTCCTTCCCTATGGTTTTTGCAGACTTGTAGAGGGATAAATGCTTGCCTTTGCTTCTGCCTTTACCTTTGCAAACATCAGGAAAATTCTTCAGCCTGCTACTTTGCTTCCTTCCATAGAAGCACAAATACTGTACTGATTCAGGTAAGGTGGTGTTTTGTCAGGATCAGTGTTATAAGGAGGAGGAAATGATAATAATGAATGGTAAAAATAGCTGATGCTGTAAGGTGATGTCAAATTTATTGCAAGGATGAACAAATATATGACTAAAGAGGTGAAGTTACACCTTGAGCAGAAAGAACAGATGCAGGATTTTAGAGGATCTCCCCCTCTCCCCACAAAACTTTTCAGCTGAGCTTTGCAATCAGATTTGGGAAAATAAAATTATGCTTTTCCCATTTTTTTTTCCTTTCTTCTATAATATCTTTCTACAGAAAAGTCTAAAGTTTAATTAAGAATTTGCAGCCCAAGTCTTTTATAAATCTACTGGTAGAATTATAAAATGGCATATTATGGGGATTTTGGTGGTGGTAGCTTATGAGGATTTTGTTTTTCTATAGTCTGTGTTAAAACATGTCATAGTACAATGCAAAGTTAATTGAAAATAAATTATTTAGCACACAACTCCATAGGTTTGAATTCCAACATGGCAAAAGGTTGATTTCTTTTCTTTCAGCTTGTTCTTTCTGGCAATTGTCACTAAAAGATAATGCATTTAAACATTTGCATGAGGTTACTATTCAAAATTTTTAAACAAATTGTCAGTAGAAAAAATATCTGGCATCTCTGATCGGCCAAAATTTTATTCACCTCATATCACAACCACTCTTACAGTTCATTCTGTTCTATCCTAAGAGAATATTTTTTCTCATATACAATCTTTCCTTAGGACGCAGCATTGTTTGAAAAGGGTTACCCAGATTATGTAGAGACTTTGACATGTCTGAATAAATCTAAAATTGTCAGGAGGGCTAAGCTAAATAGTACATGTGTGTGAGTACTGAAAATGCTTTACTTGATACACTGAGGTTTCTGAAACACTGCACAGGTTTCCACATGGCCAGGGGATGCCTCCCACATTGTCTTTATCCCTGATGGACAAATTGTAACAGTGTTCCTTTTCCCTCAATGTCTGCATCCCAAACATTCCTAAAAATTATGTAACTTCTCAGATATCTTTGGTAAAATAGAAAACTCCTTTAGAAACTATAGAATAAATTAGCTGATAATAATAACAGACATTAAATTTCTAAATAGAATAAGCATTTTTAATTTAGAATGAGTGTTCTCGCAGTGATAAAGTTTATTATAGTTGTCTTTAAAACTTAGTACATGCATGCATGTCTTAATAAAGTACACTTAAAGCCACCTCTTCTCATAGCTGTCAGTTGCTATATTTAGTGCTATTTTCTGGTTAAAAAAGCCCAGAAATTCCAAACAACACAAATTAATCTATATTTCCTTATCTTACTCAACAGATCCCTTGCTAGTTACATTTCCACTGACTGGCCCTTCCTTTTGTAATTTTTGATTTGAGCTTGGGGACTATGGAAGGTGTGCTTGAATGTGGATAAAATTGTGTAATGAACCTTCTTCACTGTATCTGTCTTTACTAAGTATTTTAGCTTTAATTTATTGGGGTTTTTTAAATTTTTTGTTGTGTTGTTGTTTTGTTGGTGGTGGTGTTGTTTTGCTTTTTATTTCTGATAATATATATTCAATGTGATTGTATGAAAATGTTAGCTTTATATATATACAAAACTCTCTTTTGGGAAGTAGTCCAATGATCACAGTGCTTAAAATGTGATACACTTGTGTCAAAGTACTTTTAGAAAATATATTACTTGAACTTCAGTTTTCCTTCTGAAGGTCTAAAGCTCCACGACTGTGAGGGTGACATTCTTGGAAAAGCCTGTAATTTCCCTTGGCACCAGGCTTCATTTGTTCAAAATATTCCATTCGGTGATGCCTTCCTCTCACCATCAGGACTCTGATGTCTTCTGACAGTAGTGATAGTGGCAGAATAAATTCTGGGGTTCTCTCTTTGATTTATTGCTTCAATGTAATATTTTTCCTTTAACATTCATAGCTGTCCTTAGCAGAAAATCCTTACATTCAGCTCTGTGTATTCTTCTTTATAGTCAAGCAAATGGCTTAAGATGAAATAAGGATGGGATCCTAGCTTCTCCCTGTCCTATAATAATTTGCAGTTTCAGTTTATCTTCACATATGTTGTTTTGATCTCTCTGCATTTTTTACCTCTCAGTTGAAACAAAAAGACTGTGTCTGAAATTCACCTTTTCTTAAAGGATTCATGCACCTTTTGCCAAGTAAATGACCTGAGATGTTAAACACTTTTCTATGTAAAACATTTTTTCTGTGTATCTTCATAAACCCGTTCTCTGCAGGTCATGGGTATTTTTGAAGACACTGCATACCATGAAAAAGACATGGACAAGAACTTTGAGGTGAAAGAGGAGGAAGCAAAGGAAACACTGGAGGATGGGAGGTATCAAGGATGAAGTAAGGACATGCAAAGACTGACTTGGACAAATTGCAGTTCAGAGTGGGACTGCAAAAACATCTAACCATCACTTCTTGTCTTTTCCCAAGCAGCCTACAGCTACAGGTCCTTCAGGCTTTCAAAACTGGCCCTGCTGATGAAAAACAGCAACTATCATCAATCATGCTGATTCAAAGTCAAGTACAGTGAAGTAGGAGCCTTCCCAAAAATCTTATGGCTACTGCATCAAAAGCTACAATGAACATGTGCATGGACATGTGCAATCCATCATTTAAAATAGCTGGGGTACCTCTGGTATGGGTGGCTAAATAAAACAAGCATCTTCGATATATAAACTGAATGTACCCAAGTGGGTGTGTTTATTTTTAAAGGAAAACTATGACTATTCCCATTAGTACCTTTGAGAACATTTTGATAATACTGTACCTAGCTTGTGATTGTATTTTTTTCAGGTAAAAAAATATCCTAGAGGTCGCTGAGAATCTAGCAATTAAATGTTCAACCTGATTTCTATTCATACTGAAAGTGAAAAATTTATCATGGTAGCACATTAGCTCCAGCTGTAGAACCTAATTTCCCTGAATGCCTAGAGAAATTTTAATGACAGTGAAGACTGATATACAACTGTATCATATGGGTTGCCTGTTGATTTTATGGAAGAGTAGTCTAAATGTAATAAAGGAATTTGAATAATAATCCAGAACATTCAACCATGAGAAAGTTAAAGTCTACAGAACACACTAAGTGGATGCTCTCATGCAGTCCCACGGGAGTTGCTTCCCTGGTTTTTGGTACTGCTCTCCAATACAAAGCTGAAACCAGTCCTTCATACCCAATAGAGAAAATTCAGGATCTGGACATGAAGCAAAGCTAACAAAGATGTGAAAATGAGTAGTGCTGTTTAAAATAAATATTTTAGGTCATAGCTTCTAGCAGACAGTTATGTGCTATTTTGTAGTCAGCTTATTATTCTTTTATTTGAGCAAAAACTCATTGCAGTGAAATAAGAAATTATATGAAGAATGAAAAATACACTCAAAAAGGTAAAGATGAAAACTAGGAAAATTAACATAGTGTAACATTAACCTGTATAGCAGCCAGACAATAGGGGTAAATCATCTCAGTATATGGAGTCAAATAAGGAATATTTGTTTCAGATCCCTTTGCCATTTAAACATTCAGTGTTTTTACTGAAAATGTTGCTAGGCAGAAATACTGTGCTTTGTTCTATGGGAAATTAAACATTTGTTGGATGCAATTTTCTTGTATAAGAAAGAGAAAAATGAAAATACAGGGATAAGTATGCATCTCTACATATAAAATAAGCAGGAGGGGAAGGTTTGAATGCCACTCAGTACAAAATTACTTTATGACACTTATGATGTGCAGTTCATATCATCCCAAACTCCTAAAAAAGGAAAGAAGTTATTTTCCTTTTCCTTCTTCCTCTATACTCTATTTTTGTAATCCTGTTTCCATTAGATATCAAACCTTTTTTTTGGTTGTTGCTTTTGTGTTCAACCATTTTGTCAAAGCAGCTGGAGGAGACAAAGTGGCTGCTTACAGTCCTAGAAATAAATCTTTAAAACTCCTTTAAGGGTGAATTATGTGTGTACTTGTGGGCTGGAAGGTGTCAGAGCTAGGAGTGAAAACAGGGATGTAGGGAGTCATACATATTCACATGCACTTTTATTATCTCCCTGTCTTCACTCTGCTGACATGCACGTTGTCCTGATGTCTTTGGGCCATGAAAATGACAAGCCTGAAAAAAGTCACTTTTTGTCTTTATCTGACACATGTATTTTGCTATGGTGGACAATTCTCTTTCCTTGCAGGCAGAACCACAAGGCCAAGACATTCCAGAAAATGAGAACAAAACATGAACTAATATGATGTGCTCTGGTGTAGCCTGTGGCCTTGAGCTCAGAGAAATATTTCTTTTGCACACCATGGGGTCCTTCTGCTGGGGTACAAAGCAGTCATGATGTGTTACCACAAAGAAAATCACATTCTTTAAGAACTCTTTTTAAATTTAAAATATTTAAAAGAAATATTTTAAATTAAAATTTTAAAGTTTCAGAATTAAAAATGGCTGAAAAAGAATTTTGAAGAAAATTTCTGTTGGAGGAACTAGTGAAGAGACTTTTTCCCACCTTGAGGTTTGCCACCTTCAAATCAAATACCTGGGCTCCTTGGACTCGAACCCTTTTATGGCTTGACTTCTTACACCCTTTTTTTTGACTGTTCTCCTAAAAACAATATAACAAGGAAATCTATGATATCTCTTTCTTACAAAGTCATGATTTAATAGGGAAATAAATGTTCAGGGACCTGTACTGTGCCGTACTACCTACTGAAATAAAAGTTGGTATTTTCTTATACAAATCACTTCAGAAATACATGAGTTTCAGTACTCCAAGCCTTTTGACAAAATTGAGGTAAAATTAACCACCTAATTTACTATGTATCTAATCCCATATATCAAAACACTACTAGGACAGACATGGTTAAATCTTATGCCTCTGAGCAACAGAATATTTTCACTCCGTGGCACGCCATGTAAATAACTTGTACCATATGTTTATATTTTTATACCATTGATGTTTATACTTATGCAATCCACAGGTAAAACATTGAGTGTGGTGAGTTTTCAGATACTCATGGGGTGAGATCCCTACCTCCATGAAGGAGCTATATCATCATACTCCATATTTAATTAATGCCATATCCTACACTAACTTCATTAAGAAAAGGGGAAAATTAGAGAAGTGTTTAGTATCTTCATTAGATATGACCTATTTGATAGAGAAATATTGAATTTAGAATACATAGACATAATAAGTAAAATATTATTAATACATCTCCTGCTCAGATTAAGTGGAAAAGCTGTTCACTTCTCAAGTAGGAAATTAGCCACCAGCACCTGGTCAATCTCACCACCTGCTGCTGAAAGGGTGGTTTCTGGGTTTTACTTTGACAGCCATTGGATGAATCCCATAATATATAATCCACAACATGAGGAGGAATGGGCTTCTTTGGTAAGAAGACACCTTGCACAAAAAAAATACTTCAAAGAAAATTTTAATATTAATAGTCAGTTTCACAGACAAATGAATTTAGCCTAAAAGTACAAAGGAGCACAAACCCAGCATGGGAAAGGCTCTTCTTTGGCACCTTCTCTTTGGCTTCATAAACATGAAGTGTCTGAGGCAAACATCAGCCCATCTCCCAATTGTCATAACCCTGCCAAGTAATGTTTATCAGTTTTGCCTCCAGGAAGGAATCTGATCAATAAAACATATTTTTAAACTGCCTGCTTAACACAGTATGAACAATGCCATTTAGCACTTACATATCAGCTTACACTAATGCTGCTGCACACACACTGACTAATTAATCAGCTAAAACAAAAGAAAGAAAGCCTTGCACTGTCTCTGTCTAACTGCTGCACTAAAAGCAGAGGATTTTTTAGCCATTCAGTTTAATAAACTGAAAATCTCTCCATTAATGCAGCTTGACTTGTACCCTTGCCTTTTGTGTTTTATGTACGTTTGTATGCTTGTAATAGTAGCCCACACAGTATTCTGAGCACTAATTGAACAGCAGTGTCACTCACAAAGCTATGATCCTTGTCTCAGAGCATTCAGGGATGTGTACAATTACATCTCAGTGACTAAATGTCACAGACACAAGGAAACAGTGAGGCAAAGAAAGCATTCATAGGGGTACCCTGATTGGAGCAGATCAGGTTTTCCTGAAGTAGAAGAGCTAATAGCAACGAAATAGTATTTTAAAATTGAAAGAACTCTTCCTATATGCAGGAAAAAGTCATCAATATTGTGAAAAAAAAGATAGGAAAGAAAAGACATCTCTAAAAGGAGGAAGCCAATGGCACTGCTTTGGAGAAACAGCAAGGTTGAAGGTCAGCCTGGACTGTGACAGTCTCCCATGGATCTGCAGGTGGCAGTGCCAGATTTGCTGTCACTAACATAGTCTTAAGCATGGCCAAGACCTGTGCTGTAAAACTCCCTGGAGACCAGACAGATTGTGTAGAAGTAATCATTTAAACAGAATGTCCAGGTTCTCTTAATTTGTGATTGCTCACACCTCTTTTTCTGGAGTAAATCTTAGGGAGAGTCTTACTGAATATCTGTCTATCTGAATATCTGTTACCAGCCCTTACATGGATGCCAAAAATCAATCGTAAAAGTACCTCAAAAGAAGACAATAGTTGTTCATGCAGTGTGGTGCTAAACCATGCTGACAAGGAAGAAGAATGGGCCAGTAAGTAATTAGAAAATTCTTTTTTATTCATTACTATTTTTCATGCTTAACAAACTTTTTTTGAATGACATATATAATTTTTACCTCATATGAATTCCTTGGTAGATTTTTTGTTGAACAGAAGATAAAGGTTCATTCTTAATGAACTTAGCAAATTCTGGTTTCAATTGCTAATAGAAATTGTTAAATGCTTTAAAAGTACATGTCAATACATATGTATGTTCCTTCTCTTCCCCTGGGAATAACTATTTTCTTGTTTCTCAGTACAGTGAGTTGGTATCCAATCATTTTAAAATGTTCCCCAAAATGAGAGTACAGAGAAGTTTAGGCTAGTTTGACCAAGATATTAGCTCATGATTCTAAGAAAAAAATAATAGTTCTACATCTCCAATCCTTTAATATAGGCCAGCTGCCCCAAGGCAGACCAAGTGCTCCAGGAAATCTCATCCTAGGTATTTTGAAGCAGCACTGTTAAAGAAAAAAAAAATGGCATTTTAAGGGATGAAACAGGAAAACAAATGCTGGTGACTATGTTTCAAGAAAGGAAAGCTCAAACTAAATCAGGACAGTAAAATCAATGCATGGCTGGAAGGCAGACTTTGAATGGAGAACAGCAAAAATGAATAATTTTCAATATTAAAATGTCTTCCATCAATATGTCAATAAATGTTTCCAATTCAAAACTGAAATGACAGGCTTCTGTGGATTACCTATTTCTAGGATACAATAGAAAGCAGGAAGTAAGCAGAAAGTGTCTGTGAAAACTAATATTGAAGCATTGACACAGTGTGTTTTGTCACTCAATATTTTTGACACTGTTTTTGAGTGTATTGTCATTGTTCCTGCAAGGACCATGGACCAGCACTCCACTGTGTAAATTGCTGTTCAGTTTTACTGTAGAAAGTATCTGAAAAGTTGAGTAGTCGTAGTGATTGTAGTGATTTCATTCCTGTGTTGTTCCAGTACACATCTTCCACTGTGGAGTCTGTATGAACTTACTAAGATATTTCAAACACTCATGGCAAGAGTTCATGCAAAGGATCAAAGAACCATAAA